TTTTTATGTTATACTTTTCTGGAATGGTTAAAGTTTTACCATATACCCATAGTATATGCATTTATTTAAAAATGCATACATACATACATAAATACTTTTAAGGGAATGGAAGGACATGAGAGGATGACCCAAACCAAGTCCAGGTTTCAGCCATAACTCCTCCCTCTGTGCCCTGTGCTCTAGATCTGGGATAACCCATTCATCAGCTGGGATCCAGAGGAATGTGGTGACATCAATAATCTCACTGTGACAACTGAGAACCTGTGGCTCCCAGACATCTTCATTGTGGAATCGTGGGTATCAGGGCTGCAGAAAGCTGGAAGGATGCTCCATCTGCAAAGCACAGGCCAGGGGCAGTGCAGGGCAAACCCATATTCTGGGGCCACTAAACACTTACTCCAGAGAGGAGTAAGATCACAGCTGGTCAACTTCTCCCCTTGTTGTTGTTAGGTGCCATCGAGTCAGCTCCAACTCACAGTGACCCTATGTACAACAGAACAAAACAATGCCTGGTCCTGATCCATCCTCACAATTATTGCTGTGTTTGAGCCAATTGTTGCAGTCACTGTGTCAATTCATCTCATTTATGATCTTCCTCTTTTTTGTTGACTCTCTGCTTCAGCAAGCATATCCTTCTTCAAGAACTGGTCTCTCCTGATAACATATCCAAACTTCTTCCCCTAGGGATGGGAAATGGTAGCCAGAAAAGATGGCAGAGTGATCATCATGAGCAAAATTGGGAAGCCCGAACTGAAGACAAAAACCCAAACTGATATGAAACCCAGTACTTGCCTCCTTCCCTTCTGCCACTTAGATTGGATGTGGATTGTACCCCTGAAGACCTCTCTGCAATTGTGACCAATGATGGTCATGTCAAATAGAACAAACCAATGTGGGTGACCAGCATCTGGTCATGTCAAATATAACAAACCAATGTGGGTGACCTGGACATCTTCTACTTCCCCTTTGACCAACAGAACTGCACACTTACCTTTAGCTCTTTCCTCTACACAGGTGAGTTGCAGTGGGGTTTAGGGATGAGGCAGATGAGATCAACCAGCTGGGCAGCAAAAAAAGCATACATAGGCAAAGCCAATTTTTCAAATACATAAAAATGGACAGTGAGATATTTGCTGACTGGAGAGTATGGATGGTGGGATAGGGGAGCTGAGCTGAGTGGAGAGTAAGGTTTTCCAAGGTGCTAAGGTAGCCCAGAATAAAAAGGGGGACAAGTGAGTAATAAGGAAGTCATTTTATTGGGCAAGATGAAATCCATCACTCTCAGTTCTCCACAGTTAGTGTTGCGCAGATGTATGTTGAATGAATGTTTGTCTCCCCTGCAGTGGACAACATGTTGCTGGGCATGCACAAGGAAGTGTGGAGATAGTAGACACTTCTCATGACATTGTCTGCACAAAAGGAGAGTGGGTGCTCCTGAGCATCAACAAGGCCACCTTGAAGATGTCCGTGCGCTCCAGTCTTTTTGATCAGATCATGTTCTATGTGAACCCAGAGGTTCCTGCATGACCATCTACCCCCCAGACCATCTACTCCCCAATACCTCCCTCTTTGGACCTTTCTGAGTTGCAGGGCCAGAGCTTGTCCCTTCTTCCAAGACCATGGGTACCATAGCCTTCAGAACCTTCCTCTCTCCCAAGTCCCCCAAACCATGCTCCCCTTCCTTGGCCTACCAGCTCTGGTCTAGGTTTTCTTTGGTGTATATAGGGGAGGTTCATTAGTCACATGAAAGCTCCTCCTCATCCAGCCCTAGAAAGAACCTTGGTAGAGTGAGGACACCAAGGAAAGAAGGACCAGAACCACCCCTCAGTCTTCCTTCACCTGACCTAGCTTCACCTGGTTCTCTGCTCTCTCCTTCCCACCAGGTGGCCATCAGACGCAGACCCATCCTCTATATCTTCTGGTGCCCAGTGGCTTTCTGATAGTCATCAATGCCCTTAGCTTCTACCTGCCGGCAGAGAGCAGAAATCGTGCCCCATTCAAGATAACTCTTCTGCTGGGCTACAACATCTTCCTATTCATGACGAATAAACTACTCCCTGCTAGTGGCACCCCACTCATCAGTAGGCCCCCTCCCACTGTTGAAAATGGGAAATAAAAAAGGAGGCAGGTGGGCAGGTGACCTGATGAGGCAGCTGAGGCAGAAGGGAGAAAGAAGGCATCCTTAGAAAGGGACTTCTCTGTGAGAGAGAAAAGTGGGACTTGGTGGTGCCTGTGACTTGCTTCACTCAGGTATGCTCTTTACACTCACCTCAGGTGTCTTCTTTGCCTTGTGTCTGTCCCTGATGGTGGTCAGCCTGCCGGAGACCATCTTCATCACCTACCTGCTGTACCTGGCCAGCACCCAGCCCCTACCCATGTCTCAGTGGCTCCACTCCCTGCTGCTGCACTGCACCAGCCCCAGGAATTGCTGCCCCACTAAGCTCTGGAAAAAGAATATGGGCCGGGCCCTCACCTCCACCCATCTGCCTGGTAAGGGAAGTCAGCGTTGGCCACACTCTGTCTTTGCACTGGACCCAACTCCCCAAATCCCCACTTCTCTAATTCTGTCTTCTTGCCACTTCATGGCTAAGTCTATGTCCTCTCCACAGGCCTGAAGGAGCTGGGAGCCAAAGAGACAGAACTCAAAGGGGGCTCAGGATTGACAAGGGCTCAGCTAGTTGACCTGTGAGTGCAGTTCAGCCACATCATGGACACCCTGCTCTTCTGCATCTACCTGCTCTTCCTGGCCTCCTCCATCATCACGGTCATTGTCCTCTGGAACACCTAGGAGTCCTGATCATGCAAGAGCACCCCTGGTGCTCACTTTCTATTGGCCTCAGTTGACCTCCCCTGACTCTGGTCCTCTGCACCAATATGTATGTTGTTGTTGTTATGTGCCGTCGAGTCGGCCCCGACTCATAGTGACCCCTCCTTGGGTTTCCGAGGCTGTATCACTATGGAAATAGATTGCCCCATCTTCCTTCTGAAGAGTGGCTGGTGGGTTTGAACCACCAGCCTTCTGGTTAGCAGTCAAGTGTCTTACAGTCCCAAATATACCGATGATCCCCCTGTTCCAATCCTCCCTGGGCTCATATAGAATCATCACCAACTGTCCCAGAAGTTAGACTGTATTTCCAAAATGAATTTAGATTATATATGTTTATCTTAGAAATATAATTTTCACTAGAAAAGGAAGACTTCATAATAAGTTATCACAAACATTTACCCAAAAATAACTCTTCTTATTACTGGTATAACAAAAACTCAAACTCACTGCCATCGAGTCGATTCTGACTTATAGCGACTCCATTGCATTTCCAAGGTGGTAAATCTTTGTTGTTGTTATGTGCCATTGAGTCAGACCCGACTCATAGCAACCCCTCCTTGGGTTTCCAAGGCAGTATCACTAGGGAAGTAGATTGCCCAACCTTCCTTCCAAGGAGTGACTGGTGGGTTTGAACCACCAGCCTTCTGGTTAGCAGTCAAGTGCCTTAGGCACTATAGTAGCTGGGAAGTTCAAACCACCGACCTTTGAGTTAACAGCTGGATGCCTTAACCATTGTGCCACCAGAGCTCCTAGTGGGTGAAGGAAGAATAGGAAATGGAGGAAGGGGTTTGCAAGTTTAGGTACAGGTGGCCAGGGAAGAGTTCATTACAATTTCCTTCCAAGCTGGCCCTGGTGTGTTATTTCCCAACCCACCTAGTACGTGGAGTCTGTGGTAACCCAGTCTTTCACAGGAGGCTCTGAGGTTACCGTGAGTTGCCTAAAGTCATACAGCTCTTGCTCTTTTGAATTCTTTTCTGGGTGAATAGGTTTCAGGTTTCATTTAAATACAAATGTCTGTTGTGCCCAGGTGAGAGATAATATGTACAAATGACAATGGCTAAGCACTGTGGGAAAGTTGAGGATAAATCCAACACAAGCTGCAAGAGCTTATAGCCCAGCTGGAGAAATAAAATACGTTTATTAAATAAATTCAATTAAACATAGGACATGTTTTTAAAGTTCATTGAGTGCATAAAGAGAAACTGTGATAAAGTTCAAAGGACAAAGGCTGCTTCTAGCTGGAGTAATGGTTCTCAATCCTGCCTGCACCTTAGAATCATCTGAGGAGTTCCTAAAATAGTACTAATGTCCAGGCCTTAGATTATTTAAATCAGAATCTTTAGTATGCGGCCCAGCTCTAGTATATTTGATAGCTTCTCATGAGATTTTGATAGGAGCTCTGGTAGCATAGTGGCTAAGGCTAACCAGAAGGCTGGTGGTTCACACCCACCAGCCACTCCTTGGAAGGAAGGTTGGGCCATCTACTTCCGTAGAGATATCGCCTCAGAAACCCAAGGAGGAGTTGCTATAAGTCAGATCCAACTCAATGACAGTGAACTCCTCCCTAACAACTAGAAAGTTGCAAATAAAAACAAAAATGAGATATTATCTCATCCCAGCAATAATAGCAAAGTTCAACAGGACAGAAAACAACAAATGCTGGCTAGAATGTGGAGAGGAACTCTCATACACTGCGGTGGAAGTGTAAAATGGTACAACCACTGTGAAAAATGGTATAGCGCTTCCTTAAAAAGTTGGAAATAGAAATTCCATTTGATCCAGTAATCCCACTAATAGGAATGTATCCTAAAGAAGTGAGATCCAGGACATAATAGATATATGCACACCCATGTTAACTACAGCACTACTCATAATAGCAAAGAGATGGAAATAACCTAAGTGCCATTAACAGATGAATGGATAGCAAAACTACAGTACATACACACAATGGTACACTATGAATCATTAAAGAATAATGAAGAATCTGCAAATCACCTCATAACATGGAGGACATTATGCTGAATGAAATAAGTCAATCACAGAAGGATAAATATTGTATAAGTCCATTATTGTAAAACATCAAGGAAAGGTTTACACAGGGAAGGAATTTTTCTTTGTTGGTTACCAGGGATGAGAGGAAAGGACAGGGGAAATTGCAGACTAGATAAGAGACATGCATGAAGGGAGAGGTAATATAACAAAAGTGTGTAACCAGCACTATATCACTAAGAAAAAGGAAGATATAGAGGTATGCACGAGAGGTATAGACAACAAAGGTAAATGTCACTACATACACAATACTGTGTTATCAGTAATAACAAACACCAATCTATGGCTGGATACATGGGTAGACAGACAAGAAATTCAGGTTTGTGTAGATGAACTGGAATATACCCATGGTCATATATAGGTTTGGCAGACTAGAAAAATTAAAAAGTAAGAATAGCAGCTGAACCATCTCAGGGCAATGCTATGGCTGCTGCACTAAAACAAGGAATTTTTCTGAAAATTGAGAGAATTCTAACAGCTCCCATGAGAGTCTGCATGAGAAGCAGGAGTTTTGTGACTTTCCCAAAGGCTACAGGATATGAGTAGAATAACAAATGTGAATCCCCAGGATGCTGGAGTAGTGTGCAACTTTCATTTACAAAATTGTGTTGTTGTTGTTGTTAGGTGCCACCAAGTTGGCTCCAACTCATAGCGACCCTGTGTACAACAGGATGAAACATGCCTGGTCCTGCACCAACCTCACAATCCCTGCCACACCTGAGCCCATTGTTGCAGCCATAGTATCAAGCCATCTCGTTGAGGGCCTTCCCCTTATTCATCAACCTTCCACTTTACCAAGCATGACATCCTTCTCCAAGGAATGGTCCCTTCTGACAACATGACTAAAGTAGGTCACATGAAGTCTAGTCATTCTCACTTCCAAGGAGCATTCCAGCTGTACTTCTTCCAGGACAGATTTGTTAGTTCTATTGGCAGTCTATGGTACTTTCAGTATTCTTCACCAACACCACAACTCAAAACCACCGACTCTTCTTCAGTCTTCCTTGTTCATTGTCCAGTTCTCACATGCATACGAGGTGATTGAAAATACCATGGTTTAGGTTAGGTGCACCTTAGTCTTCAAGGAGATATCTTCAGAACTTTAAAGAGATCTTTTGCAGCAGATTAGCCCAGTGCAATATGTTATCTGATGTCTTGACTGCTGCTTCCATGGGTGTTGATACCAAGTAATATGAAATCTTTAACAACTTCAATCTTTTCTCCATTTATTGTGATGCTGCTTATTGGTCTCATTGTGAGGATTTTTGTTTTCTTTATGTTGAGGTGTCGTCCATACTGCAGACTGTAGTCTTTAATCTTTATCAGTAAGTGCTTCAAGTCATCCTCACTTTCAGCAAGCAAAGTTGTGTCATCTGCACATTGCAGCTTGTTAATGAGTCTTCCTCCAATCCTGATGCCATGGTCTTCTTCATATAGTCCATCTTCTCGGATTATTTGTTCAGCATGCAGATTGAATAAGTATGGTGAAAGGATACAACCCTGACACCCTCTTCCTGATTTTAAACCATGCGATGTCCCCTTGTTCTGTTCAAATGACAGCCTCCTTGTCCATGTGCAGGTTCCTGATGAGCACAATCAAGTGTTCTGGAATTCCCATTCTTCTCAATGTTATCCATGATTTGTTATGATCCACACAACCAAATGCTTTTGCAAAGTCAATAAAACACAAGTAAACATCTTTCTGGTATTTTTTCTTTCAGCCAAGATTGATCTTACATCAGCAGTGATATTCTTCATTCCACATCCTCTTCTGAATCCAGCTTGCATTTCTAGAAGTTCTCTGTCAATATACTGCTACAACCATTTTTGAATTATGTTCAGTAAGATTTTACTTGCATATGATATTGTTTGATAATTTCCACATTCTGTGGGATCACCTTTCTTTGGAATGGGTACAAATATGGATCTCTTCCAGTCAGTTGGCCAGGTAGTTACCTTCCAAATTTCTTGGCAGAGACGAGTGAGGGCCTCCAGCACAGCATCCATTTGTCGAAACATCTCAATGGGTATTCCATCAATTCCTGGAGGCTTGTTTTCTGCCGATTAATGCTGAAGGCAACCCACTCTGCTGGAAATCTTCCTATCCCAAAAGCACTCAGCTTTCTTGCTCCATGGGCCAGACAACCTGCTACTCCATTTTGTGCCGGTCTCTTCTACCAATTGATGCCCAAAGGCAACCCACTCCACACGGAAGCTGCCTACCCAATGGCATCCAGCTTTCTCCTCTGTTGGCTGGTAAGGCTGTCGCTGTCTCATGCCAGTCTTTTGGCTCTGTTACTGCCATCTCTCATGCCGATCTCTTGGTTCTGCTGCTGCTGTCTCTCATGCTGCGTAGCGGGGTCTCTCTGTCTGGGTTTTGGGTCAAGGACGCACTCCACTCTTATTTCCATGTTTTAG